TCAGGAAGGGCTTTTCAGCAGGGACTATAACCACTGACAGTAGTGTCTGCGCCGTCGATTCCTGCCCTGGAGGCTGATCCTACTGCTACTCTTCTCCAGCTTTTTCCCTCAAATCCTAAACCAGGACCTTCCTTGTACCCTTACATAGGGGTCTATGGTCCCTGATAGTGGGTATTTAGGGTACATTGAGGGTAGAAAGAGGGTCTAGGAAGCCTGAACCTCTTCCTGCTCTTCTTCATCTGTTGTCCCGCCATGGTGCGGATGTTGCGTCTTGGCGCTGGTGCTCCTTCGGCAAGCGGAAATCCAGAAATAGAACATCTTACACCAGACTTGCAGTCCTGGCTGACAATCCCAAAAACAACTTGCCCCAAGTTTCGGATTTCCGGCTCAAGCGCTGAGCATGTAGCTCCAAAGGACTTCCTAAAACTAAATAAGGCAATGACCGCTTCAATGACGATTGAAGGACAGTCCCTTCTGTCCTCTTCATTAATGCCATAAGCTGACAAGCCGCCAGAAACGAGTACCTCTGATGTGTGGGCTTTTCTATACAGGGATAGTTTAGGTCTCTACTTACTTATACTTATACATGATTTAAAGGGTATGATTTAGAAAGTCAGGACTATGCAGCGCTGTCAATGCTGGTGCAAATCATGAAGTGCAAGGCTAGGCTACCTACAGCAGCGCACAGTGTCCGAGTCTATCTTCCTCCTTTTGCAGATCAGCAAACTATAAGGTCGTTTCCTGAAACAGGGGATCTATATACCCCAATATACTATACTCCTTTTTAAGGACACCCCCCAGGAAGCCAAGCTCTTTGTGAAACCCCCCAAACTTCTTGCTATCTGAGGTGCACCCCCATGAAGATGTAGACCCCAATGGGCCCAACGCGGTCAAAGGAGAACTCGGAAAGGAAGCCCATCTTCACGTTTGTCATGTGCACCTGAGTAGTGTTTTTTTTGGGTGGTTGAATTTAGTAAGATTATATTCCTTATATAAAATACTATACCCCAAAAGGTTTTTCCTACTGCAAACTGAATATACCCCAAAAGGAGGATATAATCTTACTCTATATTGGGTACCCTAGTATCCCCCCAAAAAATACTACTCACCTGAGGTCTTGAGGGTTTGGGGTTTGGGGGTTTTGCGGTTTTGGGGTCTTGGGTATAGAGATTTAGGGTTTGGGGTCTTAAGGTTTTGGGGTCTTGGGTATAGAGATTTAGGGTTTGGGGTCTTAAGGTTTTGGGGTCTTGCGTATGGAGATTTAGGGTTTGGGGTCTTAAGGTTTTGGGGTCTTGGGTATAAAGATTGAGGGTTTGGGGTCTTAAGGTTTTGGGGTCTTGGGTATAGAGATTTAGGGCTTGAACTTAGGGTAAAGGGGCGTGCTGTTGAGATGGCCAAGGTCTTGGCTATTCAGAATAGCTTCACATGAGAGTTATGTCAGTTGTTGTGTTGAGACCTCTACGGTGGCACCGCAATGTTGATGGTGCCCATTAGCCTAGGCATTCGTTCACGCTTAAAATCCGAGAGCCGGGCATTGTAGTCGATGGTTCCTCAGCTGATGACTGCTGCGCTCGCGTTGGGGAAGTGCCGCAGGTTTGGGGATTTTGGAAAACAGTATAGAGGTTAAGGGGTACAATATTGGGTTGCATAGGGATAATGGAAAAGAAAGTGGAAGCTACTATGGTATAGCAGGGTTCTTCAAGACGTTGTGAGCAAGTGAGAGGAACCTCCTGGCTAGCAAAGTCCTGGCTACATGGACCAAAGCCTTTGGATGCCCTATGAGCTATACCTATAACTATTATAACTCGCTTAACTATTATTACGGTTCTTCCTATTCTTCCGATGATTAGTATTAATGCTCCTCCTGCAAAAAAGTCTCTCGGATGACCGGAGCAGTCAACTATCGCAGCATACCACCATCGGGGTCTGATTTTCTCGTAGATGTCCTCAGATGCGATGTTACAGCTACGCTTTAGAAGGTTTCAAGGACATAGACTAAGCACACAAGAAACGCAATATGATTTCCGACACGCTGCCGCAAACGGCGTCTTTCCCGATGTCAGCTCTGATGTGTTGATCACCTGAACACGGTTCACAGACTCCAAACCCTGAACAGCTTGCTTGGTTGTCAGTTGAAAAAGAAGGCAAGGGAGAACAGTCGCCTTGCGTGGAACTTTCTCACAGTTAGCCCCACATCACCCTCAAGAGTCAATGTTTGAGAAACTCCCAAATGCTTCAGAACCTCATGTCTGCTTTCATTATGCTCACCCTGGCCGAGCGTACCTGTGTCCATCTCGCCGCTTGCTTCAACCTGCGCAGCACTCAGAGTTGTGTCCTGCATGGGGGCCTCCATATGGGGGTTCCCCCCAAGATTCGGGGAACCATTTTGGGGGTCCCCAAAATGAGGATTAAAGGATGTTGGGGTCTGTATTGGGGCCTCTTTATTTTGGGAACCTACCATATCTATGTAAGGGTAATGGAAGGATACTGCTGCTAAATATTCAGGCTTCTAGAGTACCTTGGGTATTCTGTATGGCTTCGACTCGAAAAAGTGCACAAACCTAAGCCTGGATCACAGAACACTAAATCCTTAAGGGTCTGAACCACAAACCCTTAACCTTGACATCAAAATCCTGGACACAAAGCCCTGAAGCCCTAAAGCCCGAAACCCTGAACCTTGGCCCTAAACCCCACAAACCCTGAAACCTCAAGCCCCTAACTCTATAAACCCTTAACTCTATAAACGCTAGGCCCAACACCCCTGATTATAGTAGTTTCCATTTCTTGTCCATTATCTTTATACAACCCCTATATAATCCCCATTATCCCTGGTTTGGGTGGACCCTAAACCCTAAAC